CTTTTCATTAAAGAGTAAACTGTAGCAACATCCTGCAGTGTTGCACTTAATCCCTTACTGCACTTTTTCCAGGTAGTCCTCCACTCGCTCCTCCCCGCCCCCAACACATCACCCCACTCCTTTTATTTCCTCTTCGGCATCCCTCACAAGGCAGAGACAGGAGCTAAGCTATAAGCAAAGGTGGGCTAGCTAGACCCTGCCTTCGACAGAACTAAGGCAACTGTTCCCTGATGGGGGAAGAGAGAGTCACTCTGGGGCTGAGCACTGCTCACTGGCCTGGTGTCAGCTCCGGAGGCATGGCACTCTTCATGTGGTATGGCACTGAGAGCCACCCCCTTGAGCTACTGCTTTCTCAGGCCCTCAGGCGTAAGCTCAACACTGGATTCCAACAGAAAGACAGCTGAAGAAATCAAACAGTTGCTTTCTCTGTAGAAGCGTCCTTCTGGGTTAGCCAGGAATATTGTAACGTTTTGCAACACAAGTGATAACACCCCAAATGATTTTGTCTCAAAACACAAATGAAAAAATACTTTTTAAAAAGAAGCAAAATGATTGCCTGGAGCATTGCTATGGAAACAACAAAAACAGGAACACCTCTACTCAGAGAAGGCTTATTTCCACTTGGCAAATGATGACGGTTAGCTTTCCTCAGAATCCCACGAGCTAACAATTAACAGTATTCATACAGGAGGTTCACAAGAATCGGAGATTTGGAAGGAAAAGTAACCTTGACCCCAATGGTTGCGAGGTAAGGTAAGGGCCTACCCCACAGCCACTGCCTATTCAATCCTTTCTATAGCCAGAAAGCTCAGTAAAGAGCTAGCAGCATAACCAGGCATTGGTGGCCCGCCTTTAATCCCAGCACTCGGGAGGCAGAGGCAGGCGGATCTCTGTGAGTTCGAGGCCAGCTCTGGTCTACAAGAGCTAGTTCCAGGACAGGCTCCAAAGCTACAGAGAAACCTTGTCTCGAAAAAACAAACAAACAAACAAACAAACAGGGCTAGCAGCATTACCACAGCCACAACTGCGGCATCGTGATTGGCAACAGCCAGATCCATGCAGCTCATTCATCAACAGGTGGGTGGAGAAATGAGTTCCCTGTGCAAAAGGGAACACTTTCTGACCTTCAAGAAAAGATTGTCTCTCATTTGCATAGATGGAGTGAAATAAGCCAGGTCTTTAGAGAATAATTATCAAATGCATACATATGCGTGCGTGCGTGCGTGTGTGTGTGCGCGCACACACACACACACACACACACATACACACACATCTTCCAACCTAAAACAATCACTCTCATATAAGCAGACAGTACCAGTGGTAGTTGCCAGAGGCTTTAGGGTACAAGAGAAAAGAGACAGAGGTCAAGGTGAGTCAAGTTCGGAGGGAAGTCTTTGTAAGACCTATTACATAGGAAGGCAATTGTGTCCAGCGATATAGTGTTCCCTGCTTTAAATTTCTCAAGAGTAAATATTCACATGAGAGGAAAAAGAGAAGAATGTCTCGGATGATATATGCCTATTCATGTAATGTAAGTATCATTGCACACTGCACTACGTCTTGCCCCGCAAATACACCTTTCGTCAGTTCATGTGGAAAAAATAAAAATAAGATTTTTATATGCCATAAGTACCAAGAAAGCATCCCCGAACTACAACAGCCATTTCCTTTTGAGAAATAAACAGATAGAAGCCCCAATCCGGGCCCATCGTGACGTGCATGCTTACTAGAATACTGTAAAGTCGCCTTTCTTAAGTTTTATTTCCTAACAGGATACAACTAATTCTGTTATTTATGAATACCATAGCAAAACACTTTATTGTTGTTGTTTTTCAGACAAGAGTTGCTCCGTGTAGTCCTAGCTGTCCTGAAACTCGATTTGTAGACCAGGCTGGCCTAAAACTCACAGAGATCCTCCTGCCTCTGCCTTCCAAGTGCTGGGCTTAAAGGCAGACTGCAGAGCCTAAACAAGCATTAAATCAAGAAATGGAACCAATGATAACCAGTGATAATTCTACATTATTAAGTATCTTTTCTGTCATCAAGTCACCAAGATAACATAATGGGAGACAGCACAATTTTCATGCTAAGAGATGCTACTTATTTGTTGCTGTTGTTGTTTTTAAGAGTTTTTACTCTGCTAATTGGGTAGTATGTACACTGGCTCCTTCCATTTCTCCCCAGGGCAAAGGGGAGCACAAGGCTGTTACTAAAAGTCAGGGAGATCTGGGCATTTCACAGACCCAAATCAGTGACTCTAGACTGCTGCATTTCACCAGCCATGCTGGGCTACCAAACTGTTCTCTATACACTGCTGTGAAATGACATGTCCTGGCCACTAGTGCCTCCTCTGTCACACCCCAACAGTGGCAGGAAAACAAAAAGATGGAATTATTCTGTTGACAAGACCCAACTTAGTCAATTCATTTGTGCTTTTCTGTGCAGGGAGAAATGTCAAGACTAGAGAGTACACACTCAAGTTGGTCAATTTTGTTTCTGAAAAGCATTACTGACTTTAAAGAATAACGAGATCTTGGATAATCACGGGTCTCCTGATATGTTTTCACGTTTGAAATAAAGGACAGCCAAAGCATAGACTCTTGGAAGATTTGTCTCTATTACAACGGGCTTCATCAATGTTAGTCATTCCAGAACAGTGCAAAGAAAAAACTTCCGGCGCAGATCGAAACGGTGCCTCGCGTGAGCTGCACCTCTGACAACAATGTGGGCCGGCTCAGTTACACTGACCCGGGCCCTTGGTGGACACTGACGAGATGGTGCCACAGGCTGAAGAGTGTACACTCAGGGTCTGATCAAAACGTAAAACTGCAGTCCCTCTAACTCCAGGTGTAATTGCTCTCCAACTTTGAGAGAGCAGAGTCTGAGTAGTCAGACACTGCTGTCAGCACTCTAGGAAGGAGCAAAGTAGTTACCTCCACAAGTCAGCAGCACCCCACCGTACAGGTGTGACAGTGTGTCATTACTCTGAACGTTAATCATAAGCATTAATCGTCAACCCATTTGATGTCTGCTACTCATATCAATGGCCTTGAAAAAGCTCTCCCTCCCTCCCTTTCTCTCTCCCTTTCTCTCTCCCCATCTCTCTCTCTCTCTCTCTCTCTCTCTCTCTCTCTCTCTCTCTCACACACACACACACACCACACTCACACAGACAAATATCACAATTGGTAGTTGAAGACTGCTGACTCTTTAGTATAAACTCTTAAATCAAATTATGAGATTATGATAAGAGAAAATATTATTTCTGCAGAAAGAAAACTGAACCTTCAGTCTTAAGATATTACATCACTTTGTGTGTGTGTGTGTTAAGACAAAGAAAGCCAAGTACAAACCAAGCTATTTTCATCTTTAATATTTTCCTAGCCTACTGAAGAGCCCAGAATCAGAATGGAAAAGAATGCCGGGAAAATGTAGCGTTCGCATATGGTTCATCAGCTGCCTTGCTGTTTGTGCTCCAAGATATACAACTTAAGATCTCCTTTAAAGTAGCTACCCACAATGCAGACAGATTTCATGGGGTGTCACCCAGCCACGATGTAGGGAGCCCTGTCTTTGCAGAGATGGCAAGGTTAGCCTTCCCGGAGTAAACAGTTGGAGCCTTCAAACGGACCGGCTTTTTCACAGCGAGTTTCGGGGCTGGATAAGATCAATGCCATATGGGCACTGGATTCCAATCGTTTTCAAACAGGAGGGCTGTCCTTTGTGCAAGACAATTGTAGCTCGGCAACAGCTGATCTTTAGTTTGCAAGCAACAATACTGCCAGTGGAAAAACGCACCTTCCTTAAAACAAATCATACTTTTTTGTTCCCAGGAAGCTTTGATACTATTTCAAGCAACAAAGACACAAAAGATACATTCTGACATCCTCAAGAATGGTCTTAGGCAGATCAAGAGTAAACAAGATAACAGCAGCAGCCTGCTAAACAGCCAAGGTGAGCAGCAGGCAGGGCAGGGAGGTTGGGTATCAGTGATCTAAGAAATTCAGTCTTCACTGATGAATGGGGGTGGGAGGGGGAAAGAGGACGGCGATCTTTCTTTCAGTTAAAAGAAAGGAGTGTGCGGTGCCGGTTTTGTTTCACGAGTGCGTGTTGAATGCACAGCAGGCAAAATCCAGTTTCGTGACTTTAAGACTGACTGACTCAGTGAGAGTAACCTAAGTTTGTATGTGGCTACAACCGCGAGACCTAATCAAATTGAGGACTCATACCAAAAATTTTGTGACAATTCTTTCAACGTTTCAAGAGTCTTCCGATACCAGCAAGAAGCCTTTGATTAGTCACGGGGTCCTACTATCGATTTCAAATGACCATTCTGTATGATGGGCACCGGTTCTGTTCTGGCCTCTTTTAAAGAAACCACTAACGATCCAGAGTGCTTTCGTCACCCGTTTCCTAGAACTGAGGGCCTAAAAACGGTGTCAGGGATGGAAGTCAGAGAGCAAGCAGAAGCCAAAGGTCCGGGCAAATTCTTCTGCAGCGCGGCCCCGTCTCCCGCGTGCGTGCGGGAGTGGAAGAGCTGGAAGTGTGTGCGCTCCTCCTCCTCCCCCAGGGCCGCGCGTCCCCATCGTTCCAGGATGTCAAGTGGGTGGCGGCTAGCCTCTGAGGAGAAGCCCAGCCTGGAAGCGCCGAGTGCTTCTCCGATGGAGATGGCCGAGTCCCCGCGCAGAGGTTCCCCGCGGCCGGCCGCCGCTCACCTTTGTTCGCCGGCCCTCTCTGCGAGAAGGAAGCCGGGGAAGAAGGAGCGCGGGCGGCGACCCAGCTCCCCGCGGCCCCTTCGCGGAGCCCCGGAGGAAATCCACGGGCGAGTCGGACCCTCTCTAGCTCCCCAGAGGCCAGACCGGTCGAGGGATCGGGGACCCCACGGTGAACACAAAGGTTGGGAGGTGTGAGCCCGAGCGCGGGGGCGTGCGCCACGGAGCTGGCGACTGTGCACGCTGTGTGCGTGTGTGCAGAAGAGCAGGCGCTCCGGCCCTTCTTACCTCTCGAAGATGAGCCGCACCATGAAGATGCAGAAGGCCACGGGGAAGGCGAGGTAAAGGTCCTCCGCCTGCGGGAAGGTGGCTTCCTCCGTGTTCTTCAGGTCTGCCCAGGTGACATTGTGCGGAAGCCAAAACCGCTCGTTCCAGAACCAGGCTAAGATCCCTGCCATCTTGCTTTGTCCACTCCCGTGTCTCGGCTCCCACGCTGCTCCGAGCTCTCCGCAGCGCAGGGTGCCGGGGATGCGCGCTGGGCTGGCCCCGAGCCTGTGC